CGTTTCTGAACTGGTGGAGACTGTTGTTGCTGTACTAATAGCGCTCACCGTTTCGGAACTGGTGGAGACTATTGTAGCTGAACTGGTAGCGCTCAGTGTTTCTGAGCTGGTAGATTGTGTTGTTGCTGCACTGGTAACGCTCAGTGTTCCTGTAGTGGTCGGGCCTGTTGCTTCTTGACTGGTATGGCTCACCGTTTCTGAACTGGTGGGGCCTGTTGTTGCTGTTGTGATTTGGCTTGTTTGCGATTCTGTTGATGAAATTTCGGCCGTTATCGCTGTTGAACTTAATGTAGATGAGGTATATATAGGTTGCGTACCTACGGTTGTTTCTGCTTGTACGGTAACAGGGGCAGTAGATGAACTTGTTGTGCTAGCAGTCTCCGTCGTAGCTGAGCTGGTAAGTATGTTTTCTGTGGCAGCTGTTGTAAATGAGGATTCTGTGGGCTGTGTTACGGTTACACTAGTTATAGTGCTAACGATAGTCGATGCTGTGACACTAGTCGGTAAACTTTCGTTTGTTTGCATTGAAGTTAGTGTACTAGTCAAATTTGTAGTTGAGAATGTTGGACTAGTAGCAGTAGTCGACAAATAACTTGCTGTTGTTTGAGCAGGATTTTGACAATAGAGACCTTCATAGTTGGGGTTACATGTACAAATGGTATTGTTGTTAGCACAAACTCCTGTGCCATCATATTCACATTGTTTACACGCTGGAATGACAATCGTAAAATTCACTGGAAAAAGAAAATTTGCATGTCTTGACTTCTTAGGAATTTCAATGAAGATTACTTACAGAGAGTAGTGGTTGTTGGATTCATAATAATTCTAACAGTCAAACTGTAACTATCATTGAAAGTAACATTATTAATAAAAAGGTCATTCACCAAGACAATACGTTGTGAAGTGTCGAGTGATACATTTAAATTAACAAGGAATTCAACATCAGGAGGTGTGAGACTGTAAAATTTAATGAAACATTAGTCATAGAAAAGTATTTGAAGCAGGTGACAATTTACTTCGAAGTTTGATTTATTTGTATACATGTATCATTGCAAGTTACATTCATTGAGTACAAAATGTTAGCTATCTAAATTGATTTAAAAAAATAAAAATAAATTCCAACAGAGATTATTTATAAATATATTATTATTATTATACTTGATATTCGATAATAGACGATGCAATCGAGGCATTAGAAACGGATCGAACTGAGGCTGAACCGTTAACATTATATATATAATCGAGAAAAAATGACGTAGTCGCTGGGGGACTTTGAGTTGTTACTTGAGTAAAACTTGTTGTTGCTGTAGGCGATTGGGTAGAAGAGCTAGTAGTGATTTCCGTAATCGATACTGGTTGATTACTTGTTGTAGCGATAGACGATGAAGTTGATTCAGTGCTAGCATTTGTTTCAGTCACAACTCCAGTTGTAATACTTTGAGTACTTAGAGTAGTCGATTCTGTCGTGATTCCTGAAGTCTCCATCGACGTTGTACTGGCTGTACTTAATTGAGCTGGCGTTAATGATACTGTAGTTAACGTAGATTCTGATGCCGACATAGTTTCCATTGTTACAGCAGCTGTGGTTGAAACAGTTGCTAAAGTAAAAACACCTAGTTTATTTAGATTAGTCATTTTTAAAGAACTTGAACAATTAAAAAAAGAATGTAAAATCTATTTGTATTAAATGAACATTGTATATGAAATATGAGCTTTGTCTGAATAGACACTACTGATATGTACTTTTTCAATTGGTATTTGAGTGGTTATTTGAGAAGATTTTACGAGAGAAATAAAACTAGTTGAAAGCGAAGATAAATCATTAGTACTTGCGAAGAAAAGAATAGATTGTTTAAGATAGAATTTTTAATATTTAGAAAATCAACATTGATAATACTTGGATATTATTACGAACTTTTGTTAGACAAAAATCTATATTCTTTTTCTCTAAGTTAGAATCACTAGTAGATATGTTGCTTTTTATTGTGTCAGAATAAATGCTTACTAAGGATTCTCGAAATTTTTCATTGATTTACGTTAAGATTAGAAAAGATACGTTCTATTTACCTCCAGCAGTACTTTCAGTTACAGCTTGGCTATTAGTTGACGATGAAACAGGAGTCGTAGTAGTTGCGACATTCACTAAAACATAAATTTAGTTGATGTTATTGAATCAAAAACAAACAAAAAAACATGTAATCCATTAGATACGTGAATTAATCACAAGGACTTACTTGCTTCTGTTTGTGTAGTTTGAATTGATGTCGTTATTGTAGTCTGAGATGATTCCGACGTCAAAGATGTTTGTTCAGCAGCAGTAATGGTAAACTCTCCTGCGGTAACATTAGAAGTTACTGATGCAGCCGATGTTTCTTGAGTTGTTGACATTGAAACACTAGTACTGACGTTCGTTTCAGTGTAATTTGATGTAGTAGTAGCTGGTATTGAAGAAATAGTAGACTCCGTAGCAGGTTCAAGTGTAGGTATCTCACTAGTTGTTGTTACAATTTCCGGTGCTGGCGATGCCGATGATGTTTGTTCACCTTGAGTAATAGTTGCTCCTACTGGAGTAGTTTCAGACGTTACCGATAGAGTCGACGCTTCTTCAGTCATTGGTACTGATACTTGAGTAGTTATTTCTGTTTCGTTATTTACTGATGGAGTGGTATTCGATACGGAGCTAGCAGTTGATTCTGTAATAGATTCCATTGTAGACATTTCCACAGTTGTTGTTTCTGTACCTTCGATTAATGTTGTTGTTGCTGTTGTCGTTTCCGATGCTGGCAATGCCGACGATGCTTCTACAGTTTCAGTAGCAGTGGATTCTTCAACAGTACTTTCAGAATTTATAGATAGAGTTGATGTTTCTTCAGTGATTGGTACCGATACTTGGGTAGTTGTTTCTGTTTCATTATTCATTGATGAAGTCGTACCCGATACGAAACTGCTAGTTGATTCCGTAGTAGATTCAAAAGTGGTCAGTTGAATAGTTGAAGCTGCTGTGTATGTATAACTTGTTGGCTCTGTTCCTGATGTTGCTACAAATAATCAAAGAAGAAACAACATTATTTTTTCCTTGAGAGTCTTTTAGTAAGATTAATCGCGTCAACAAGTGTCTGTATTGTTCTTTACTTCAAAGAAGGAAAAGAGAAAACTGAAATAAAATCTTGTTCAAGTGTGAGATAAAAACTGTCATAAAATACAGATTAATAACTAAAAGACAAATTTGAACTTTTATTTATTGCATATAAAGAGCAATAAATTAATTCATATAACATCAAACGGTAACGTAATAACTTACTCTCAGGTTCTATTCCACTGCCATCCACAACAGACGACAACGATAAAATATCGGCCCATGAATTGGCATCAGCATCACTTATAATTGATCCATCATTGGAAGTATTGTTTGGTGATCTCGACGGCAATAGTTCAGTGCTAACTTGTATCACAGGTTGCATTGAAACCGTAGATGTCGTTGAATTTTCCGATAGTACCACATCACGTTTATTTCGCTCGGGTGATACATCTTTATTGATTGGTAAAGCTATAGAAGGTGCACTTAATTCAGTACTAGCTAACCGATAACCTTCATCCATCGGTTGCATCTTTTTCTTATCGGTGTCAAGCGGAGGTTGAAAACGAGTATCCGTGTCGTCATTATTTTCATTAGATGTTAATTCACTTATTGTTCCTGTTAAGTCTGAATAAAGGTGTTGGCTATATGCATTGGACCAATCATCAGTTTTAGCATTTGAACCTAAGTAATACAATATTTAGTTTGTCTTAGATTTAAATGGGAAGTTACGCCTCTTCTTCTTTCTTTCGTTCGAAATTTTTACATCAATATTGAACATCTGATTTGCAGTTATATCTCTATGAAAACGGTCTTTTTCTTTTATTCTTGTCAGATGAAAGTTGGACTATTTTATAGTTTTCATTCAATGCTATCGTATGTCTATGCGTTTAAATACAATAGAAACATATATATATATATATTGCTAATAAGACTGCTGGGAGAACAAGCTTAATTTTATGCATGCATAATCATATGTATGTAATTAAAAAGAAATTTTTTTTCAATGTCTTTATTACACATCCATATACTTATCGTAGACCATCATTTTTTACCTTTGACAGTGCACGTGAAAAATGTAACCACAAATGAAGATAGAAGACAAGCGGCTGCCAGCAGCCGCATCGACGCTATTGTCTGTTGAAAGTTCATGATCTGACGACAATCTGAAATAGTTGACGATAATGTGTGAGAAACTGGATTTGATGATAAAGAATAAAATAAAAGAAACTTAATGATTACTTTGTATATGTGACACGAAATTTCGAAACGAATAAAAGAACAATGAAAAAACAAACGGAAAAAATGCATGGAAGAAAAAAAAAATGAGAGAAAAATGATCGAATGAAACGAAAATTGAGTCTATGAAACTGCTGGCTGAATTAAAGATGAAAGTAAGAAGGCGAGTGAGAGAGGGAAAAGAAAAAAAAATTTCTTCTTTCGATGACGACTGTTTCTCTTTTGCGATTTGATTTATACACAAGAGCATACTTTCATGTTTATACGTAAGTTTGTGAATGCTATTGCACCGGCACACTTCTGTCAGCATCGACTGCTCTGTTTACCAAGCCCCGAGCGAAAAAAAGGCTCTTGAAAACTACTTGTGCCATTAAAGTAAAGGATTCTATTCGTCACCGCTCTCTGTGTTCTCTTCAGGATATGATCCCTAAAACAAAAGCCGGTAAGAGAGAGAACGAGAGAAGAGAAGAGCCAGTAGAAAAAAGTGTCTCTTAGCACTGTCCTTATAGATGCCCACTGATGCGAGAGTAAAGTTTACTAATATGTTGTTATTTTGCCACGATTTTTCGACGACCCATGAGTAACACAATGCTTGCCTTTGGCGACGAGAAAAATTATGCATGACATACTCTTCCCACATATTTATGAGTGTTTTGTTTAATTTGAATTTTATTCTACCTCCTTTTTTCTTTTTCTTGTACAGAACAAAAATGAATAATTGATGTGTGTCAATTCACAAAATAAACTTAAAATAAGAAAGCCATTGTTAAAATAATAAAAAATAATAATAAACGCAATAATAATAATCATGATACTAATAGCAAATGAATCACTAATTGATTTGATCTCATCGCTATTGCTTCAACTTTCATAAGCAATTTATGTTGAACTTACATCAATGCACATTTTATTTAATTCATAGTTTTTTTTTCTTCTTCTTTCATTGCTCAAACAAGCATATGCTTCTTTTGATGGAAGCCCATATTAAATTCATTTCTCCCATAGAACATCGTTATAGAACGTAAGAGAAGTCTAAAAAGCGTTGAAGATTGTTTAGTTACTCTCTCATTCATGTAAAGTCGATTGAACAATCATCATCGGTCAGCTTTTTTTCTGTTCTTTTACTTTGGTGACATGCTATTGTATCTGCATACACATTCGATTTCAAGTTATATGTCGCGTACCAGTTGGAAGAAGAACAAAGAATCTACGATGTATTACAACACACCAAAATCGAAAAGAAAAAAAGAATCATCATAAAACTAAGCAGTCGACCTACTTGAAAAGTAATTTTCAATCAGGTATAAACAGAGTGAAAATGTACTGAGGAAAGGAGAAAAAATAGAAATTGAAAAAATATACATTTCAGTGATAAGCATTAAGATTGTTTGTATTCATATTATTACACACATATAAGCTTCGCTCCTGTTAAGTCAATATATCGTCACGCTTTAACCTTGGGCACATATAGTGTGTCTCAAACATCATGATTCGGTGGGCGACGAAGACGGCACAAGCAACAAACTCATTGCGATGTTTGCATTCTACCAATGTGTATATGCAAATAGAAAGAAAAAAATACACGAATCCTGTGTATTTAACTATCTATGAGCTTAAACTGTTTTCGTTTTACTCAGAAGATCAACATTTGCAACGGTCCGATAAAGTACACTAGAGTCAGCATACACATGTTTTCGCTTTCCATACATGCATAATAGAAAGAATAATTTTTTTTGCGGAAAAAAGCACAAAAAAAATAAGAAGCGTGAAGAAAACTAATCAGTAGGGATGTTTGAATATGAATACATTCAATGGCAATAACAACAACGAAATTTAATTCCTTTTTTCTAAATATTTTAACATATTTTTATCTCTAAGGCCAAATTATACTTTCGTTTAAATTCGTAACTTGATAAAAGTATCACAAACTCTAGAGAATACATTTTTTTACAACAATAATCTATTACAAAATCACACAAAACATAATACTTGATAAATAAAAGAAAACCGCTTTATCAAATATATGAAGATTTTTGCTTTTTGATGTTTTCGATACTAGGGTTTTGCTTTTTCGTCAAACAGTTCGAAAGTTCCACCACGGTGAAAAACGCAAAATTATTTTTTTGTACAGTCTATGCTTACGCAGGATTGAAAATTTTTCATTTAACGTTAAGTGTTCGCAAGGGAAGGCAGTAAAGTGGTTTTTTTTCTTTCAAAACGACTCGATGTTTGTCAACTGTAAAGCGAACATGTTTGTAAACCAATGATTTGTAAACTTTGGAAAATATTATGAAAAGTTCACGCTTTGAAATGAAATGAAACAAAGCAATGTGCTCTTTCTCTACTATTGAACTAATTGACTGTGCACAGAAAAAGGAAAAGGCAAATTGAATAGAAATATATAATCATCTTTTATAATTATGGCCAATTCTAACATAAGTAATCTTTGCTCTTTTACTATGCTTAGGCTTGTTAATTCAAGATAAAAATATATTTATTGGCAGATATAATTATATCATACGCCGGGGTAAATCCCTTTTTTGTCTCTGCTCTTCGAACTACTTAAAATGTCTCAAACTCAATTTATTTTAGTTTATCTTTTTTATCCGTTTCGATTGCGTAGATCAATATATACAAAAAACAACATTCTGTTATCGAGTATACCTTTGAGTAAACATTAGAGAAGTGAAAGAAGGATGAAGGATTGAGAATGTCGATGATTAATAATGCAAATTGTTGCAACGATTGAAAAAAAGAAATTCAAAAGAGAAAAAGAAAATGGTACGATCAACTTTCAATGGTTTTTCGTCTGCGTAATATATAGGTTTGCTATTGTTTATACGAAATGAAGACTTGCGCATCGTCTCGGACGAAATCAAAGCAAATAACATGCACCACTAACAGTACGAAATGAAAATGACATGATTGTTTTTGTTTACGTAGGAGAAAAATAAGAATGCTGATGAACTAATACTAATACCTCCTGTTGTGATGGATGCGGTGAATTTAATAAAATATTCTCTGCGCATTCAATGGCTAGTTGTGATGAGCGGCGTTGTATATTTTGTCTTTATCTATTATCGCATCGCTTGATAAGCAGGCCGATATATTCGAGATGAAAATATTACTGAAATTGAAGGTTAAACTGGATTCGTTACAAATAGTGAATGGTGGGTTCTCTCTGATCAACATATAAATATACACATAATAACGCTCAGAATAATTCGACCATATTCGTTTTCATTTTTTCTCTATTGACATAAACGCACAGAAGAATCCTGACGGCGATTTGAATAGAATTTTGTTTGCTACGAAAATGTTTCAGAATACAAAGAAAAGACGAAAGAGTATTAAAAAGACTGTAAAGCAACTTTGTTCAGATTCAGTTAGCCGCGAGTAGAAATCTATATGATGCATAAGACGTATTTGTTTATGAAATTAAACCTCTGTCAATTTCCTGAAATATTTCACGACCGATATATGTCGTTGAGATCCAGAGAGCATTTTTATTTTTACAGAAATAAATTTCTATACTTCTCTATTCTAGGTAATTTCAATTACAGAATAAAATTTCTTTACATTTAAATAAATCGTCCGATTTTTAATGGACTTTTAACGATAGTAGAAAAAAGAAACTATTGATTTTCCTATTGACTTATAAGCGTACACAATTGAAATGAACAATAGGAACCGTTGAATTTTGTCATAAATAATAAATAAACAGACCCTACGAAATGTCAATCATCCTCTAGCATTATGTTTCTTAATCTATCAAACGATTCCACTTGCCAGTCTCTTTAAAATCATCCATCGGGCAAATCAACAGTTTTGGGCATTTTCACTAAAATGCCTTTTATTTTGTCTTATTATAAATGCAGTAATGTTTTAAATGTGGCAATGAACTTCTTGAAAACTACATCAATCTATCCTGGTCTTTTTGTTTGGATCCCAACACTCAAAAAAGAAAAAGAAAAAGAATATTGATCTTTATTATTCTTATGAGTTTTTCATCTTCACATACATTGCAGCTAATAGAAATAACGTTTCGGTGCGTAATTTATAAAAATATTTACATATAAGGCACTTCCAATACACCGTAATCGAAAAACTACCCTTTTTCAAACGAAAATCATGCATTGCGTTGGAAGTTTATGCGTCCTTTTCGAGTATTCACAAAAACAACTGAAAAGTCATGCTGCTGTTGATTCTCTATTCGTTTGTTTTAACTACTCCCTCTTCTGTTTTCTTTTCTTAAATTTATGCTGAAAGATGGATGAGAGGTTATTTTAATTGAAATGTGCAAAGTCTACCTCAACATATCGAAGTTTCCAGCGTCAGGGAGACATTATTGTAAATCATTTTCTGTTTATAACATCCTTTTTCGCCTGTACAAACAAGCAGCTATTTATTTGCATTATGAATTAGAGATTTTTTTAGACTTTCTCTCTCGCAATGTATGTTTAAGATATTTATTTTTCTAAAGGTAGCAAGAAATAATTGAATAGGACCTGTATAAAAAAAACCAAGTTAATTTTGTTGTTGACTGTGAAATATTAAACAGTGTAATGGTATATGTGGCCATTTTTTTGAATAATGAAAAAAGTATAAATCATAAAAGGACAGACTTTTGTTAATATGCTACTAACACACTATCTAATATTACAATGGTTCGTAAACGAGAAAACTATAGCTCGAATTCTGTTTATCATTTTTCAAAGATATTGGATAATCATTGTTAGTTGAATCAGTTTCTGTTTTTTTTTATATCTACTTATTCAGTATCATTTTTAAGCGATAGTCAGAAAGATGTATTCATCTTTCAATGATGTTCATAGCAGCATTGGGCAGATTTCGATGCGAGATGAATACTGATGATATTTTTATAATTCAATTATTAGTTATTCTCTGAAAAACGTTATTGAGGCTATAATAGAATATAACAGAAAGAGACACAATCTTCATTCTTAATCGATATTAGCCAATTTTTCGTCATAGTATTAGAGACACCTATTTAGATTTATTGTGAACAACAAAAATAAAAAAAGTCTGGTTCACGCAAACAAGGCAGATTGACCAAAAAAAAAATATATATATATATTTATTTATAAGATAACTTTAAAACCATGGATTCTAATCACCAGAAAGTAGGCAATTTAAAACAATAAGTATTTGATGAGCTGTGACATAGTTGTTCAATTACGATTTTCTCTAGAAGTACTAAAATGAAAACAAAAATAAAAGAATAGAAATTAGACTAGTTACTATAAAATTATCATACTGAAAAAAGTCCCGATGGCTTCGAGTCAACAATTGGGCGTGGTAGCATAACATTAGGATTTATGGCTTCAAGCATATCATCATCGTCGAATAAATCATTTAATGGATCGTGAAATGTTACATTTAGATCTTCATTGTCAATAATTGAATCAAGTTCATCAATAGGATCAAAACTGCTAGTTAACGATATTGTGTCTGATGGTAAACTTGCTAACATAGCACTTGTATTTGGTCTTGCTATTGTTGCACGTAGATTCTCACCCATCTTTTGATCAAGTTCTTTGAAGAATGTGCTGTCGGCGGGACTTGTTTGATCAGGATTAGAATATGTTCGACTACTGCTTGGTGTAGACATTGCACTATTCATATAATCAGGATTATTTTCATTTGAAACTGGTGTTGGTACATGAGCCCTTGGTAGATGCCATCGGCGAAAAATTAACACATCATCTCTGAATAAATATAATTCAAAAATAAATAAATTCCACATTAAAAAATTCTGATTACTTGTCATGATTACGCCGACGACGATAACCAGCTACAAACCAAAGGCAACAAGTCATAGCAAAAAATAGACCAGCTAAACCAGCTAGAATACCAACAATTATTGGAACCCATGAAGGATTATTATCAGCTTTTATTGGTATTATGCTTGATTCTTCACAAAAATCACCTACATAAGGTCTTGATGGATCATTTTGATTCTGATAACATCGGCATTTGCTGTCACCAGTTTCGGGTTCACATCTACCACGCACAGGATCTAATCCACATAAGTTACATGCATTGATCAAAAAACATGACGTAACATCAGCAACCAGAACTACAAAGAGAGTTGTCAATTAAAAATATGAAACAAAATAGAGAACAGTTTCATTCAATATGCACTGCATTAAATCCCTGATCTTCAAGCAGTTTAATTGTCCTCTTACTTGTTTCGTTTTGCCCACACTTATTGAAAATGAACAACGGGAAGTCCAAACCGGATGTAACATTCCTTACGCCACTCAATATATCCTGCACATCTGAGATACTGTAATCGTTCGGAAACTCCAAACTAACTTCTGCAATTCCAGAACCATCGCAACTAAACAAATAAACATGCACGATACACCAGATTTCCAAAGCATGCATTACAACTTACACTGAACTCTCATTCGCCGGTGTTATGTTGAAATGATATTTACCCGAAAGTGTGCTATTAATCTTCTCATACAACTACACAATTAACAAAAAAACAATTATAAAATCATTAGGAAACAAAAACACCATACCCCAGACACATTATTGTTTACACTCGTACAATTGACCTTCACGATCAAAATTGTTGAATTCGACAAGCCTGAAATCATATTAACTTAATCACACCAAACAACACAAAAACAATCATTACCTATTGCCACAATTGGCCGCGCCGTAGTACTAGTGACACGAGTGGTACTGCTGGAAATCGAAGTGGATGCTGGTGTCGTCGAACTAGCCGTATCCGTCCAAAGCGTAGCAGAGGTCAAGCCACTGATACTTACAGAAGAAGTACCAGCTACTGTGGTCACAACTGCTGTTCCCGTACCAGCGGTGGTTGTTTGGATAGTGCCTGTACCCGTGGTTATTGTATCAGTTGGACTTGTACTAGTGGTTGTTGTTTCTGCAGTACCTGTACCAGTCGTCGTTGTTTGGATAGTGCCTGTACCAGTCGTCGTTGTTTGGACAGTGCCTGTACCAGTCGTCGTTGTTTGGACAGTGCCTGTACCAGTCGTCGTTGTTTGGAC